AAAAGGGAGGGGGAGAGAGTAGTTAATTTTACTAGAAACAGAGGATCTTAGGAACACCAAGGGAGAAGAGCAAAAGAGGAATGTGGGACCCTATCCAGAGAAGCAGTGACACTAGATATGGAGGCAGAGATGAGGACATGGAGAGAGGGAGCAGCTGAGAACTCTAAATTCATGGAAAGAGAGGGACTGAGAGCTGGCGGCCAGAAGGCAGGCTTGCAGAATGTGCCATTCAGTGGTTTAAATTATTATATATGCCTGAGTGTTTAAATAAATAAAAAAAAAGAGCTAAAATGAATAGTGAGAAATACTATTAACTGATGATACATGGAGGAGATTATAATCATTGTAATGAAATAAGGAGCTCTGGTGGCGTAGTGGTTACGAATCAGGCTGCTAACCTCAGGGTCAGCAGCTCAAAACTACCAGCTGTTCCGCGGGAGAAAGATGAGGCTTTCTGCTCCCATAAAGATTTACAGCCTCAGAAACCCTATACAGGATCACTGTGAGTCGGAACCGACTCCACGGCACATAATAACAACAACAACGAAACGAAGTATATGATTTGTTGAATGTAAAACTTATGATCTTCCTGTCAACTTTCACTCAATTCACAATAAAAACTTCAATGACAACAACAAATATTCAAATTTAAAGCTCATGGAAAGATGCTCCATGTTTTTGGATTAGAATACTTAATATTGTTAAAGATGCTAACACTATCCAAAATGGTCCATAGATTCAATGCAATCTCTCAATTCAATGCAAAAAAAAAAAATTTCAACAGCTTTTCTTTTACAGAAATGGGTAAGTGGATCCTCAAATTCATATGTAATTGCCAAGGGTCTCAATCTTGAAAAAACAAGAACAAAGTAGAAGGAATGATCCTTTCCAACTTCAAAATGTATAATAAAGCAATTTTGATTTATAGTTGTGATTTATATTTTGATTTGTAGGTATGATTCTGGTATAATGATAGAAATATAGAAGGAACACTGGTGGTGCTATGGGTTAAAAATTGTGCTGTTAATCACAAACTGCTCCATGGAAGAAAGATGAGGCTGTCTTTTCCCATAAATATTTATAGCCTCAGAAACTCTATATAGGGTCACTAAATGTCAGCATTTACTCAATGCCAGTAAATTGTGTGTGTGTGTTTTAATGTAGACCAGTGGAATAGGATTGAAAGTCCAGAAATAAACCCATTCGTCTATGGCCAATTGATTTTTGACACGGATGTTAAATCTACTCAGTGGGTAAAGACTAGTCACTTCAATAAATGATGCTGAGAAAACAAGATTTCAATGTGCTAAAGGATGAAATTGGATCTATTCTTCACAACTTATTTTAAAAATTACCTCAAAATGGATCAATGACCTCAATATAACTAAAACCATAAAACTTGTAGAATAAAACATCAGAGTAAATCTTCAAGATCTTGTTTTTGACAATGGGTTCTTAGATATAATACCAAAAGCATGATCAATTAAAAAATAGATAAATTGACTACACCAAAGTTTAAATTTTTGTGCATTTTGAGGACGCTTCGAAACTACCAGCCGCTCCGCGGGAGAAAGATGAGGCTTTCTACTCCCGTAAAGATTTACACCCTCGGAAACCCTGTACAGGGTCGCTATGGGTCGGAGTCGACTCGACAGCACATAACAACAACAACATCAAGAAAGTGAAGAGATAACCTACAAAATGGGGAAAATATTTCTTAACTGTATAACTGCTAAGAGTTTAATCTTCAGATTATATAAAGAACTTCTACAACTTAAAACAAAACAAAACAAAAAGTAAAACCAATTTTAAAAATGGGAAAGAACTTGAATAGATATTTCTCCAAAGAAGATATACAAATGGGCCAATGGGCACATTAAAAAAATCTTATGTACTAGGGTTAAGAACTCAACCCATATTTTGGGAGCACACAATTCAGTCTACAATGCTGTGTTGTTGTTGTTAGGTGCTGTCGAGTGAGTTCTAACTCATAGTGACCTTATGCACGGCAGAACCAAACACTATCAAGTCCTGTGCCGTCCTCTCAATTATTGTTACTGAGCCCATTGCTGACGCCACTGTGCCAATCCACTTTGTTGGGGACCTTTCTCTTTTTCTTTGACCCTACACTTTACCAAGCATGATGTCCTTCTCCAGAGGTTGATCCCTCCTGATAACATGTCTGAAGTATGAGTGTCGAAGTCTCACCATCCTGGCTTCCAAGTAACATTCTTGGCTGTACTTCCTCCAATACAGATTTGTTTGCTCTTCTGGCAGCCATGGTACTGTCAATATTCTTTGCCAACACCATATTCAAATGCATCAATTCTTCTATGATCTTCCTTATTCATTGTCCAATTTTCACATGCATATGAGGCTATTGAAAATACCATAGCTTGGGTCAGGCACACCTTAGTCCTCAAACTGATATCTTTGCTCTTGAGCACTTTAAAGAGGTCTTGTGCAACAGATTTGCACAGTGCAATATGTCATTTGATTTCTTGGCTGCTGCTTACATGAATTTCAATTATGGATCCAAGCAAAAGGAAGTCTTTGACAACTTCAGACTTTTCTCCACTTTGCCATGTTATTTATTGGTTCAGTTGTGAATATTTTTGTTTTCTTTACATTGTAGTGCAATCCATACTGAAAGCTGAAGTCTTTGATCTTCATTAGTAAGCACTTTAAGTCCTCTTTGCTTATAGCAAGCCGTTACATCATCTGCATATCACAGGTTTTTAATCAATCTTCCTCTAATCCTGATGTCATGTTCTTCTTCATGTTATCTGGCTTCTCAGATTATTTACTCAGCATGCTGATTGAATAAGTATGATGAAATAATACAACCCTGGTGCACACCTTTCCTGGTTTTAAACCATTGAATACTACTTTGTTCTGTTCTCACAACTGCCTCTTGGTCTATATTTAGGTTCCTCATACGTGCAAGTAAGTGTTCTGGAATACCCATTTTTCACACCACAACACTATAAAGCCCAGCAATTCTACCTACTTCTAGTTGTATATCCAAGAGGCTTGAGAGCAGGGGCTCAAACAGATAATTTGCACATCAATGTTGATTGAAACACTGTTCATAAGAATCAAAGGTGGAAACAATCCAAGTGTCCATCAACAAATGAATAAACAAAGTATGTTATATACATATAATACAATAGAACATCTTTCATTTTATGGGTGCACCTTGAAAACATTATACTGAGTAAAAAAGTCAGGACACAAAAGAACAAATATTATGGTTCTACTTATATGAAATATTTAGGATAGGCAACTGCATACAGATAAACATTTATTAGTGGTTTTTATCTGTGGTTACCAGATTCTGGGAGAATGGAGAGGTAGGGAACTATTGTTAGTTAAAGAGGTTCTGAGTATGTCTTTAGGTTGATGAATATATTTTGGAAATGAGTAGAGGTGATGGCTATACAACACAGTGAATGTAAATAGTGTCATTGAATTGCAGATTTAAAATTGACTAACATGGCAATTTTTATTATATTTATTTTACTACAGTAATAATAATAAAAAAGATAGCCAGTTTATTGTCAAACATAGAATTACTGATTAATGTATTTCTCTTCTAATTTTTATAGGACATTTCTATTCAACTGAATGACATATTGTGCAATGTGACACGGATAATAAATCGCTATACTGTTGATCAGAGCTTGGTCTTTGGAAAGAGAGCCTCCATTGTAGAATATAACAGAAACCAGAGATCCAATTTTATGGAACGAATATCTACTTTTTCTCATACTCTTGAAGTTAGAGAAAAGATTCTTGCTCAAATCCTGGCCTGGCTGGAAGAATGGAGTAAGTTTCCAGAAATGGTTCAAAGGAAAGTCACAAGTTAATGAAAAAGCTAGAGACAGAATCTATAAGTAAAATCTGAAGGATTAGACAGACTAAAGAAGAAAAGACTAAGGTTATTCAGAACACTATTCAGAAGATGTCCTCTTTTCAGTTGTTATTGAGTGCCATTGAGTTGGTTCCAATTCATAAGGTTGGACCCTGTATAGGGTTTCTGAGATCTAGTAAGGATAAGAGAAATATAGTCTTGCTTGGAGTCCTGGTGTGGCACTGTAGGATAAGCACTAGACTGCTAACCACAAGGTTGGCGAGTCAAACCCACCATCTGCTCCTAGGGGCCCTAAGAGTTGGAACTCACTCAACAGCACACAACAACAACTCCTTTCTCTAGAATGTATTGTTGTTGTTGTTATGTGCAGTTGAGTCAGTTCTGACTCATAACAGACCCTGCAAACAGTATGAAATCAGGTCATATCATTTGGGAAGGGAGTCCCTGGTGTGGCGCTGTGGGTTAATGTGCCAGACTGCAAAGCCATTTGAACTAAAAGGTTGGTGGTTCAAGTGCACCAGCTGCTCCTTGGAAACCCTATACATGGTCACTATGAGTCAGAATTAATTCCATGACACTTAACAACAACAACAAATTTGGGAAGGGTATGTTGTTTGGGCAGGAAACAATTCAAAATATTATTTCCTGCCCAAATAACATACCCTTCCCAAATTTCCTACTGCCTGCATCCTAACTACCCAAGTTCCTACTGCCTGCATCCTAACTACTCAAGTTAGGATGCAGGCAGTAGGAACTTTTACTTAGCACCTAGAAAAGTACATGACAGAGTAAATATGGGTGGAATGAAAGAATATAAGAATATTTTAAAATAAGCATCTCTTTCAGTTACAAGAAAGCTCATGTAAATTATTGAACAACTTACCAAAGGAGTTCACTGGGGTTTTGATTCCCAATAGTAAAGCACATGCTTACATTATAGATAACTGTTTGTCTTGTTATAGTTCCTTGAAGTCAGGGAAATAAACCAAATTGATACTTTTTAATCTGATTCATGACTTTATGTCCAACACTTATTGTTTAGCCTTCTATTCAAAATCTCCTCCTCTTTAATTTTTTCACAAAAGAAATCCTCCAAATAGCAAAAACAGCAAGACCCCAATACTGAAGAAAAAAGTCCAAGGTGCATAGAATAAATTTGTAAAGAGAAAGGCACTAGGAATTGATGGAATGAAAATTGAAATCTTTCAAAAAAGTGAAGCGGCACAGGAGGCACTCACTCATCTCTGCCAAGGAATGTGGAAGACAACTATCTGGCCGACTGATTGGAAGAGATCCATATTTGTGCCCATTCCAAAGAGAGGTGACCCAA